TTCCTCCGTGGTGTCCATGAGCAGAAAGGAGTAGGCTAACGAACGTATCTCCCTCCAATCTTTATGCCATGTTCTTCTTCATATAACCCAGTCTATCTCTTGAATTATTTGCTCAGCACTATGCACATTTTTAAGGAGCTCTGGTAGTGTAGCGGTTACGAATAAGGCTGTGAACTGCAAGGTTAGCAGTTCGAAACTACTAGCTGTTCCACGGGAGAAAGATGAGGCTTTCTGCTCCTGTAAAGATTTATAGCCTCAGAAACTGTACAAGGTAGCTATGAGTTGGAACCAACTCCACAGCACATAACCACCACCACCATAAACCAACTCCACGGCACATAACCACCACCACCATAAACATTGTAATCTTGTTTTAATCTGGAACTGTTAATGTTGTTGGATATGTCTTTAATCCTGCAGTAGTTATCATGCAGCTATTTGCACAAGATTGCCTCTAACATGTTAGGTAAGACAAGGTCCAATCTTTTAAAACAGATCACAGAGTCTTAAAAACAAGAGGTTCTGCCAATATAGATGTCATGATTCAGGCAGAAAATACCTCATCTCTTAAAATTGTTCAGCAGAATCATAAATGAACTTGTTTAGCTTCCAATTTAAACAAGAATTACAATTTAAACTTAGGAAATGCTTATGAATTCCAATATTCTTTACTGTGACTCAGCAGCCAGGATCAGAGTAGTTCAAAGCGGCACACATATCATCACAATGCCATTATAATTGCTTACAAGCTGTAATTCAGAAAACTCTTCAGATTCTACATGAGAACCAGATTGCACTAAAATTTTGAATTCAATATTGAAGAACAAAATTACATGCAACTATATGGATAAGTGGTTAGTTAGCAAAAACATTTTCATGTATACTTAGGATAAGTTTTTCTTGAAAGGTTATTATTAAATTGATGGTGCATCTGACAATAATATCTTAAAAATATATCCATGGAAATGACTTGTCCATTAATTATTATCAGTAAGTTCTAGTAAGTGACCATTAAAATGCAAACTTCTTAAGAGGTATGGTTCTTTGTGTTTTATTCCAAGCATTTAGAACAATTCTGGCAGATGGTATGTACGCAAATTAAATGTTTAAGAAATTAAAGTATTTTAAAACATCTTCTACTCTTAAAATACAGAGCTCTGGTAGCGTAGTGGTTACAAACTCGGCTGCTAATCTCACAGTAAGCAGTTCAAAACTACCAGCTGTTGTGTGGGAGAAAGATGAGGATTTCTGCTCCTGTAAACATTTACAGCCTTGGAAATACTGTACAGGGTTGCTATGAGTTGGAACCGACTCCACGGCACATAAAAACAACAACTCTTAAAATGCAGTGAAGTGAACGTATTTCAAGGTTGCTTGATTTATGCTTTATTTTTTCCAAATCTGTATATTCACATGCAACAAAATCTACATTTAAAAATTATTCAGAAACCACACACAAGGGGGCTTCAAAACTCCATGGGAAAATTCCATTATATTTAATTCCATTTTTCCATGAACATTTGGAAACCCCCTCGTACTTCTTTATACAAACAATTATCTAATGAACTTTTTGGCTTTCTCCACTGGGAAGTTACAATGCTGATTGTTGTTGCTGTTAAGTGTCCTTGGGTCAGTTCCAACTCATAGCGACCATGTACAGGATTTCTGAGGAGCAGCTGGTGGGTTTGAGCCACATTTCTGTTAGCATCCAGTGTTCATCCTACAGTGATAAACCAGGACCCCATAATGCTCTCATTACAATAGGGAATAAATTATAAGAACAAATACATATTAGTGAATGTACAAACATAACACTGTTAATACTCTGAAAACTAAATTAAGGTTTTAATCACTAAAACCTTGATCTACCACTTACCTGTCAGTTTGCTGTACTCCTGTGGTTTGTGTGTTGATGGGATACTGGCAGCTATGCCGCTGGTATTTTTAAGTATCAGTAGGGAATACCTATTATACACAGGTTTCAGTTGGGCTTCCACACTAACATAGACTAGGAAGAAGGAGACACAGACTACTTCTGGATGTGTAGCCACTGAAAACCTCATGAATGTGGTGGAACAATGTGAGACAGCACCAGAATATTGTCAGATATAGTGCCAAAAGATGAGCCCCTCAGCTTGGAAGGCACTCAAAGTATGACTAGGGAAGAGCTGCCTCCTCGAAATAGAGTTGACCATTATAACATGAAAGGATTTTGTAAAACTATTAGAACCTTCATTTCCTGATAGGGCACAACTCAAAGAGCTGTAAACACTCATTAATACTTGGTGCATGGAATGTACAAACTATGAATCAGGAAAATTGGAAGTTGTCAAAAATAAAATGGAACACATAAAGATCTATATCCTACACCTTTATGTTGCTAATTGCCACCAAATCAGTTCTGACTCATAGTGATCCTGTATAGGGTTTCTGAGGAGCAACAGGTGAGCTTGAACTGCCAGCCTTGAGTTCAAATGGAATTGTAGTCCAGTGGTTTAGCCCACAGCACCACACCAGGACTCCATATCCTACACTTTGGTGAGCTGAACAGACTACAATTAGCCATTTGGAATCTGACAATTTGTCATTCCCAGCATATGGTTTTCTATACTGGGAATGACAAACTGAAGAAGAGTGGTGCTGCATGCATCATCAAAATGAACACTTCAAAATCTATCTTGAAGTACAATACTGTCTGTACTAGGATAATATCCATATACCTATAATGTGGTAGTGATGGTTATGTGCTGTGGAGTCGGTTCTGACTCATAGCAACCCTGTATAGGGTTTCCAAGGCTGTAAATCTTTATGGAAGCAGAAAGCCTCATCTTTCTCCAGTTGAACAGCTGGTAGTTTCGAACTGCTGACCTTGAGGTAAGCAGTGCAATTCATAACCACTATGCTACCAGAGCTTCTTATATCTATAAGGAAGACTAGTTAATGTCATTATTATTCAAATTTATTCACCAACCACTAAAGCCAGTAGTGATGAAATTAAAGAATATGTCAACTGCTTCAGTCTGAAATTGATCAAATGAGCAATCATGATGTATTGATAATTGCTAGTGACTGGAATTCAAACATTGGAAACCAAAGAGAAAGGACCAGCAGTCGGGAAATACGGCCTTGGTGATA